ACCAAATTTTCTGTTAGTGAAATTGTTTGGAAACATATACTAAATAGATGATTTATCCCACATTACTACATTTGGTTTCATCATGGGGAAGGTGATAGTATGAATGAAGCTAGTAGTAGTAGTCAATTTGAAAATGTTCGTAGTAGAGAACAACATCCGCCTTCTGAAAGTTAGCCTCAGGAGGATCAAGTGGTAGATCATGATACGATGCATGATATGGTTACATTTCGTGAAAAATATCAGTAATTGCTACATAAGTAGAAAATATTGGGGTAGTAGAAAATGTAGAGAGGCCTAACTTTGAAGCAAAAATATCTTATGAGATGTTAGCCGCATTTAATCAGGAAATTTATGAAGGTTGTAGAGAAGGTCTTTCTAACTTATCATTGGCAGCTAGAATGATGAATATCAAAACTGATTATAACTTACCTAAAGTTTGTATGGATGCATGGACTGAGTTGTTTAAAGAGTATTTGCCTAAAGATAATGTGTGTGCTGAATTTTACTATGAGACTCAGAAACTGGTTCATAGTCTTGGCTTACATTCGGAGATGATAAATACATGTATAGAAAACTTTATGATATACTGGAGGAAAGATGCAGAATTGTTGGAATGTCGATTGTGCAAGAAGACATGATATAAACGGCAAGGGAATAGGGTATGTACCAGCGGATGTGGTACTTAACTGTTATGGTTAGACTGAAGAGATAATATCAATCTGAAAAGACTACAGCAGCGATGAGATGGTATGTAGAACATACTCAGAAAAAAGGCCAGATCAATCATCCCTCAGATGCAAAAGCAAGGAAACACTTAAATTCAGGGTGCACAAGGATTTTGCAAGCAACATTCACAATGTTTATCTTGGTTTGTGCACATATGGATTTAGTCTTTTTGGAATGTCTGGAAGACAATACTCACCTTGGCCAGTCATCCTGAAGCCATATAACCTTGCATCAGAGATGTGTATGGAAAGAGAATTCCTTTTCCTGAGTGTATTGATACATGAGACTAAGCATCCGAACCGGTTCCACGATGTTTTCCTACAGCCTCTGATAGAAGAATTGAAGGAATTGTAGCCAACATGGGTGCAAACATATGACTATTCAACGAGAACCAATTTTACAATGGGAGTCGTTCTTCTTTAGACCATCAGTGACTTTCCTGCATATGGGATGTTATCAATCCTAGTCCCAAGAGTTGAACATATAGCTGCACTTGAGAGGGAGATAGTAAGAAGGAGAAGAAAAGAAAAGCAACAGATTCACTTGTTGAGATTGGGGTTTGATATAGAGAACTGGCCTCAAGATGGATCTGCTCACGATGGCAATGGTCCAGGAGCTGACAACCCTCGACCACAGCGCCAACCACAACATCCACAGCGCCAAACTCGTGGCATTGGAGCCTATGATCAACCTCACATCAATGGTCATAGGTTGGGATCAGAGCACCTTCTATGGAGAACAACAACTTTGAGATCAAGTCAGGACTGCTCAACACCATAGAGAACAACAAGTATCATGGTCTTGCTGCTGAAGATCCTTTTGATCACTTGGACAAGTTTGATAAGTATTGTGGTTTGCTTAAGACCAATGGTGTTTCTGAAGATGCCTTCAAGCTCAAGCTATCTCCTTTATCTTTGGGAGATAAAGAAAAGCAGTGGGAGAAGACTCTTCCAAGTGACACCATCACTACTTGGGATGAGTGCAAGAGATCATTCCTAGACAAGTTCTTCTCTACCTCCAGGACAGCTAAGATCAAGAATGAAATCTTTGGGTTTAAGCAGAAGAATCTTGAGAGCTTTAGTGAAGCATGGGAGAGGTTCAAGATCTACTGGTCTCAATGCCCACATCATGGCTTCAGCAAGGAGAGTTTGCTTAGCACCTTCTATAGAGGAGCTCTACCACAGTGCAGGAACAGGCTTGACACTGCCAGCAATGGTTTCTTTTTGGGAAGAACTGATGAATAGGCAGAGGAGCTTGTAGAGAACATGGCCAGGAGTGACTCATTCTATAGTGAGGAACATGATAGAGTCAACAGAAGTGATGATCAGCAGACCAAGAAAGAGATCAAGTCTTTGCAAGAGAAGATGGACCTATTTCTATCCAACAAAGCTAAGCAGAAGCAGCTGAACTTTGTGGGAGGTCCTACTCAAGAAGATGTTCCTAAGGTCAATGAGGTTGATGGTTTGGAAGGACAGGAAGAGTTGTGCTTCATCAACAACAATAACACTTGGTACAATAATGAACAAATTTTTCAGTACAACAACTACCAGCAAAGGTCCTATTCTAACAACCAACAAGGAGGATACCATCACAAGCCAAACACTCAACAAGGGTACTATCCGCCTAGACAAAACAACCCTCCTGGTTTCAGCAACCAAAGCAATCAGTCTACTCATGCTCAAGGCAGCTCTTCTCAAGCTCCAGCTTCAGATTCAAGTGTGGATTACATGTTCAAGAAACTCTTGGATTTTAAGGCAAAGAATGAGAAAACAATGGGCTATGAGTTCAAGAACATTCACTCCAAGATAGATGATAGCTACAATGAGCTCCACAACAAGATTAAAGGTTTGGAGAACCAGTTTACCTCCCTGAACTCTCAGCCCAGTCTCGAACAAGGATGACTACCTGGAAAATCTGAACAAAACCCCAAGGAGACAATGAAAGCAGTCACCCTTAGAACTAGTAGAGAGTTGCCTCCTAGAGTTCTCACCAAGGGTGATGAGAAACAAGGTGGGGAGGTAGCCATCAACATAGATGATGATGTGGTGATTGTAAATGAGAAGGTCAATGATGAAATCTTGGAAAAGATAGTAGAAGCTAAGGGTAAAGGAAAATTTGGAGAAGAGAAGAAAACAGTGAAACATGGTGAAGTTGTTACTCCAACAAAGATAACTTTTTTTGATCCTCCTCCCTATGAGCCAAAACTACCATTCCCTGGAAGATTCAAGAGGTAGTTTCTGGTGAAGTACAAGGAACTCTTTGAAAAGCAAATGAGTGCGGTTCAGATCACAATGCCTATCATTGATGCTTTTATGCTAGTCCCTCAATACAGAATGTTCTTGAAGGATGCTATAGCTGCAAAGAAGAAAGAGATGGAGGGTATGATGATTCTTTCTCATGAATGCAGCGCCATAATCCAGTGGCTAGATGTTCCAAAGAAGCTAGAGGATCCATGATGCTTCACACTACCTTGTACTCTTGGACCCATGCTGTTTGAGAGGTGTTTATGCGACCTTGGAGGTAGTGTCAACCTCATGCCTTTGTCTGTTGCAAGGAAGCTTAGATTCACCCAGCACAAGAAGTGTAAACTCTCTGTGGTGTTGGCTGATCGTTCAGTGAAGCTACGTGTTGGTATCTTGGAAGATCTACCTGTGATGGTTGGTAATTGTGAGATTCCTACAGACTTTGTGGTTCTTGAGATGGATGAGGAAGCCAAAGATCCCTTGATCCTTGGTAGACCATTCTTAGCTACATCAGGGGAAATAGTGAATGTAAAGGAAGGAACGATTGATCTCTATTTGGGCAAGGATAACATTCTCCACTTTGCAATTGTGGGAACCGAAATTCGCACTGTCAATTTTCCAAATAAATGCGAGAGCCAACGACAAGTAACCAAATAAATGCGGAAAATATGAAAACATGATAAAACGAATTTATTAAGAAAATAGATCTTATTTCGAATTCGCGTAAGAGTGTTGCGGTCATTACAAGAGATTATAAAGGCTTTGGCCGCAGGGGTTGTCAGCTAGTAACCTAGCAACATAAAACCCTAAACTTAGTTGAGTCGCAGCTCTATAACAAAAGACGAAAAAGATAAGAAAAAGGTTTTGGTTGATTTCGGACTGAACCAAATGAAATGCTGCCTACGTACCCCTTTCGAGGATCAAGCCAAACGTAGTTCAACTGATAGAGCTGGAAAATAGATCGAACTGCCTGGGCGAGTTCTTCTAGTAATTGAGTGCCAGTCACAGAAACAGAACTTGTCGAGAATAAAGCCTAAGTTTCTAAGTGCAGAGAGTTCTAAGTCTAAAACCGTATGCTTGTATACTCCTTCTCTAGGAGGTTGGTCTATCCTTTTCCGCCCCAATTTGCGCTAATCGGAAATCTTCCATTTATCTCGATCTTTCCATTTTTCTTCGGAAAACTTCTATTTTGTCTTTAAACTTGACATTTATCCATTCCTGCGAATAATAGGTATAACCATCACTTTATCTTTGGGCTGGATCTTGTCTAAAGTCGTGAGTGGGCCTTGATCGCGTTTTAGGACTCTCTGAGCCATTTTGCAATTTACCCGTTTTACGACTTTAGACAAGATCATTCCATGATACGATGCAGTTTTTATAAAATATCTCGAGTTAATCGTATAGTTTGGCAATGCCCGGTGTTTCCCGTTTCTGTTTTATACGCTTTACTCGAGGTCTTACAAGAATACAAGTCTTTAGCGGTTTTTTATAATATATCTCAAGTTAATCGTATAGTTTGGCAATGTCTAGTGTTTCGTTTAACCGTTGCCGTTTTATACGATTTACTCAAGGTTTTACGAGAAAACAAGCCTTTTACGGTTTTTATTGTAAAACTCCAACAGTAAGATGAATCGAGACGAAACAATAGATGTTCCGATCAAGGTTCAGAGTACGATCGAGTCGAGGAGCATGGATGGTTTGGTTCAGCTCGCCTGTTGGCGAGCTGGACGGGTCAGTTCAGCTCACCAACATGCGAGCTGTTCAAGCACTACAAGAAAATCGAGTATTAATGCGCCTGGAAAACGCTATGTAACGATATGATAGCGTTATTAGGTACACTGTATCATCGGCCGCGATAATAGGCCGAACACTTTAGATAGCGGTTTTTTGTTCTGCTACTGTTTTAGATTAATATAGCATTTTTTGTTTGCCATTAAATGTTATTTAATAACATTTTTGGTTATTATTAATTTAAAATTATTTATGTTTACAATTTTTATGATTATTTATTGGTAGTTAATTATTATTAACAACATAAAATAAAATTTTGTTTACAACGAAATCAGATTATAAATTGGTATTTCTTTACAAACTGAAATTTGGATATATGGTTTACAATTAGAAATTGGTTTATTAACTAAACCCTAACTAAACCAATTAAACTGAGCTAAACCTAATTCAGCTGTCAAACCAAGCTTTCTTCAACCTACGCCGTCACCGCTCAGTACCATCTCCGACACCGCTGCTTTGTCTTCCCCGACGCCGATGCTCTGTCTTGTCCAACGCCGTTTCTCTGTCTTCTCCGACTTTGCTCGATTCTCCAAGCTTTCACTATTTCTACAGTCTTTTTCTGTTACCTTCTTACAAACTAAAAAAATAATAATCAAGGAAACAATTAATAGGATAAAAGAGAAGAATGAATACCAGTCACTATGGACATCAATCAACAAAGATCAGAAACTAACGGACAAGAGAGAGGAGCAGATCTGTTACAAAGTATGGGAGGAGGCGTCACTTCGTCACAGAACAGAGAGGAGGCGTAATGGTTCAGTCTCCACCACCGCAGGACACTAAGAGAGAGAGACAAAGAGCCATGAAGAGAGAGAGAGAGATAAAGAGACATGGAGAAGATGGGATGCTCCTCTTCTGTTGTTATCTCGTTACCTCGATGCATCTGTATTGAGAAGGATATTGAGTGACAGAGAAGATGGTGACGATGAGTCACTTACAGAAGAAGTACGAGAGAGAGAAGATGAGTTTTGTGAGTCTAGACCCTTTGATTTTTTTGGATCTGAAAACAAAGGCGAGAGAGAGAGACAGGAGAAGAAGTAGGATGGATCAATCTGGACCCTTCAATATTTTAATCAATGGTTGAGATTAGACAAAGCATGATCTCAGCCCTTCTTTGTGATTGGCCACTTTGTGTTGACCAATCAGATATTTTTATTTGCTTCCTCTCTTTTTTTTTATAACACATTTGTATTTGGTTCCTATTTTTTTAATAACATTGTTTTCTATTTATTTTGGGTTTTAATATAGTATATATTTTTGAAAATAAAATTCATTTTTAAAAAGCATTTAAAATTTATAATTCAGTGATTTAGATTTGGATATATGAAACAGAGTTTAGATTTTAAGAACTAGAGGATTTAAGTTTGAAATTTGAAATTAAGATTTAGAATTTAGAGTTTAGTGTATATATTTATGTAAAGTACAACATAATGTTTTCAGATTAGATTTAAGATTTTAAGTGTTAGAATTGAAGTTGAGTAGTAAAAACATTAGTTTTTAGATTTTTAGTTATAGTTTAGGGTATATGATTAATTTGATATAGTTTTTATGTTTAGAGTGTAAAATATGGGTTTGAGTACATGGTTTAAAGGTTCAAGGTTTGGGGTATTGATTTAAGATTTGACATTAATTTTCTGAGTTTGTTTTTCAAATATAAAGTTAAATTCAAGATTTCATGTTAAAATATAAGAGTTTAAAGTTTTTGTTTAGAGTTTAGGGATAGTATTTTAAGTTTAGGGTTTAGGGTTTGAGGTTTAGGGGTTAGAATTTTTGGAGGCAAACAAAATGGAGTGAGAGGGAAAATAAAACAAGGATGAGAGGGAAAATCAATTATTTCCCGTTTTAGTTATGTATAGCGTTTCGAAACTAAAAGTGATATGGATATTACATTTTTAAAAAGTGTTCGCAGAACTAAAATTGAACCAACCATACATAGCGTTTTCATTTTCACAAACGCTATCTAAAAGTAGGAGGTACCTCAAACATAGCCTAATCGAAAAAACGCTATTCTCTTATGCTATTAATACACACATTTCTTGTAGTGAAGCACGGCCAGCTCGCCTGTTGGCGAGCTGGATAGGTCTGTTCAGCTCGCCAACAGGCGATCTGGTCAAGCAGGGCCAGCTCGCCTGTTGACGAGCTGGGCAGGTCTTTTCAGCTTGCCAACATGCGAGCTGGTCAAGCAGGGGCAGCTCGCCTGCTGGCGAGCTGGAGAGGGCTGTTCAGCTCGCCTACATGTGATCTGGTCAAGCACGGCCAGTTCGCCTAATGGCGAGCTGGACGGTTTCGATCTTTTCTCGTTTTCTCGACCCGAGATCCTTTCGGAGAATATAAGGAGAAGTAATCGTAGACGTTGATTTTAAGGTTATTGTTTTAACTTCGTATCTCCGTATAAAGTCTATTGTTTCTTGTACGCTTTTTCTGGGACTTTCAGCCATAGATTCCATCGTGACCGATTTTGACCCCTACAGTTAGCCCTCCAGCTCATTAGAACCTTGAGCTTCTAGCGTGAGGTTCTAGTGAGTGACTAGACAATTTTAGGCAAGTTAGGCGGAATTTATGGTTGAAAAGTTCTGTTGAAAGTTGTCTTCCCACTCTCATTGGAATGGAAAACGGTAGGATTGGGGCTGCGCCTAGTGAAAGCTGCCTACGTACCCTCTTGAAGGGATCAAGCCTTTCGTAATTCGTTTTAGAGTTAAGGTTCGTACGACCTGTTTTCCAATGAGACCTTTACAGTCTAGTTACACGTAGAGATTATCGAACATGACAATGTCGATGATGTTTTGTATCAGCCTCGAGACTTGCCTTGTAGGCTGTTTGCTTCGACCAAGTGTGGCCATCATATTTTTGGACTGGACGTATGTGGCTTCGAGTCTGTGCTGCTTAGCGGCCATTTTTTTTAAATTGATTTTTGCGTTTTAAGAGCAAGTTTGTATTCGTATGAATGTGAAGGGAAGAATATGAGTTGTCCTCTCATAGTCCAACTCTCTTTTGTAGATCGCCTTATTCGCTTTGCTCGTTTTAGGATATTTAGAATCTCGTGAGCGTTTAGAAATGGACGAAGAGACATGCCTTTAGGATCTCATTTCATGCCTTGAGACGTTAGAGACCATTGTGCTGGGTTTAGGGTAAGACCTAGGTTTACTTTTGGTTTTAAGGCTTTGCGATGACTAATCGGCATTCGTTTTGCCTGTTGCGATTTTAACCTGATTCCCTACCGATTGAAAGTCTGCGATAGGGTCTCGGCTTATATGACTTGTCTGGTCGGAATCGAGCAACCCCAAAGGAGCTGACCAAAATTTGGATTTCTTTATAGCACTGTTACCCTTGTGTCGAGTGTATGAGAGCTATCTCTGTGAGATAACTTAAGTTTGTTGTGATCAGCAACAAATTTAGGTGGTACATGTTACCATTTCTTGGACCTTCGCGAAGGATACGTATCTTAAGAAGTTTTCTATGTTCCATAGTCGCGGATGGACTGTTGGGTCTTCCAAAAAAATGATTTTATCGAGGAAGGTATTTTTGTCGAAAAATTGTTCTTCAGGCGTCTCCGACGTCTCGCAATGCCAAAAATTGGTTTTTTCTTTCATATGTTGTGTTTCGTGTTCAAAACGTTTGCGGGCTTGAAGGTGTTGCGCGGTGTTGCAAGGGTTTTGTCTTAACCCTGCTTTGCAGGAACACTTTGATTTGCTTGCGGATATTCGCAGCCAAAACTTCTGTTCTTGTTTGGATGTTAAGTAGTTTGATTCATGCTAGAGAAATTAGGACCGAGGGGTCGCGTAAGTTTTATCCTGAAATGAAGCATCATTAATTACAGTGCTTTGTGAAGTGTTGACCTTCCGAGATCTTTTTCATATATTTTAAGGGTAACTCGTACTACTTCAGGAGCTTTGTTACGTGTGTTTTCTTACACGTCGGATTTTGTAGGCAACTCACTTCAGAAATAAAGTTAATTGTGAGAACGTAGAGCTTAATCGATTTTCGACAAGTTTACATTTTCCGTTGAATGTTTTGGCTTGGCGTGAAGGTTGTATTCAGCTACATAGCCAAGGACGTAGTTGGTAAAGGATTAGACCATGACACCTACGTGCTATCAATACGGTCAAGTCGGTTTGGATCACCCTTCAAGGGGATTCTGTAACCTAGCTCGGCATCGAAGTGAAGCGTGATTGGACTAGGGCCAAGTGGCGTATTTCGAGATTGATATACCAAGTATGTCCATGGTCGTAGAAAACGTATTTCCGTTTTAGGTTTGATTTATACGATGAAAGTTTTGTATAATCTCTCCTTTGTTCGTATGGAAGTTGTTTCTTTTTTATTTAAGGGTGACAAAGCCTAGGAAGCTCGATGCAGAGCCCGTGCAGAGTCAGTTGCATGGTGGTTTCATTCTCGGATTTAATCGAGAGGACTGAGAGCGGATGCCTGTGAGCCGCAGGTTTAAAGAATGATATCTTTCAGATCATGATGCGAGGAAACAAAGATTTACATTGGTCGTCCAATGCCAGATCGTATGACTTTGGTATAGGGGAAGTACTTTTCGCAAAACCTGTCACGTTTACTTTCGAAAGTTACTTTGTATGTCAAGGTATTCGAATATAAGAAGGATTTCTTGCATAAGTAACGGTCGAAGAATTTAGTAAATTGACTCGACGTATGGAGATGTCAAAATAACGATGCTTCCGCGAATGAGAAAGCTTTCCGCTTTGTTTTTGATTCTTTGGTAATACTTTCTTGGAGTCACTCACGGATTTTTACCAAAGGTTATTTCACCGAGATCTAGTCGCGAAACTTTTTGGTGGGTTTCTTGAGCGGAATAGGATCACTTGACCAGCAATAGGATCAGTCGGCGAGCAGGGAGGACGTGTTCTCTATTGCTGATTCTTGTGTTCTCGATTTTTCATTGTCCCAAATGTTCCAGATATTATTCCGTGACTCATTTGGTTCAACAGAAAATTAGAGCAACGCTTTGATGCCTAAAGATTTCTTGTATATTTTTTTGACTCTTATACGAAAATTTTTTTATCGAGTTGGAAAAGATCTTTATGACTTCGGAAAATCATCGAGTTTCACTCTGAAGTTTGGCAGAGTTTTTCTAAACACATGATTGCGATGAGAGATGTTTTATGGTCCTCGAGATTATTTTTCAGATGGTTTGGATCAGTTCTTAGCGTTTAGATGAATCTTAGATTTTCGTTTGCTTTTGGGATGATTTTGACGTGGCATCGCATTGTCCTAGTATTTTTCCGCATATTTTGCGAAAGTTTGCTTTATAGAAAGCGTTTTCTTGATGTGAGGAAAAATGTTTTTTGAAATATGGGAGTATACAAGTATAGTATACGCACGTGCTCCCTCCCGCCCCTTTTTTTAGACGAGAGAAAAGAGATGAATTTCTTTTGATGGATTGGGATGATTGATAATCTTGTTCGATTAAAGACCGTGGTGGATTGATGATGACTCGGAGTATGTCTAATTTTCAAATTTTTTTAGGAACGCGTCGGTTTTAAGACGACGTCAGTGTCTCTAGTTCCTTCTTTCTTTAGGAAATGAGATGAGTATGCTCGAATGTGTGGCGATCGTTTCTCGGTTGTAAGAGAGATTGGATCGGTTTGCGAGTTATGCCTGAACAGTTAGAGAACAATAGATCGAGATAGACAAAAATTTCCCACGAGTTAGCATGCTAGGCTATCCCCTAAATTCTAAGTTCCCTAAGTTTTATGGCAGTTTACAAGACGTTTTCATTCCTTGCCTACGAGAAATTAGAAGTCTAATAAAATTTTCAAATCAGACATACCTTAGTTTCATCGATGATTTGGGACTGCCTCTTTTCTTCTTTTGACTTATTTTCGTATGTATCGGTTTTAGACCAAATACCAACAAGAATATCGGAGTGAGGAAGGGACTTCAACATCGGAGTTTATGTTCTTGTTTCTTCGTACTTCTGGTTTTACTTAACTGACTAGGTGTGCTTCGTATATAGTTAAAAAATATGTCACACGTTTATG